TCTTTAATAGCAGTTTTAAAACATGGGTGTAGATAAATGTGGCTCTATAACGCGACCGCTTCAGAAACATTAAATTATAATACAGTTGTTATATGGTGTCTATAAAACCGCTTATACACCCTTTTGTTCTTTCGCATTTTCTGAATTTGTTTGTGTGGCTTTGCAACACTCACATTCAGATAATGCCTGTATTGTCTTTTGTTCGTACTCGAGGCTACGCTATCTGTATTATTCTGTATAATACATAAGGTTGAGGTGACAAGTGTTACTAAACAAAAAGTTTTCAAAAGATTTAGGAAGGGAAAACATAAGCGATATGCGTCGAAGGACATCTATAGATAAAAGTATGCCACGCTTCAGGAACTTTAAATAGAAACCGATGACATAGCGGTATTGAAACGGAACTAAATTCTAAAATAATGAACTATTCTTTTTGCATTTTATGGTGTTGAAAATGGATCTGTGATGATATTTAGCCGGCTGCCTCTTTGCTTTTTAATAACTCGTTGTCGTGCATTGTAGATTCGTGGAAAATAGTCCAATATATCCTATGAGAAATTGCTTAATATAATAAAAATGAATGTTTTCAAAATAAGGTTCAGAAAAAGCTTAGAGCATTACCTGTCCTCCAATAATGAAGATATGTGAGACTCGTCTCTGCTAATTTCATCCAGCTTTATGGTTCCTACTAGAGATGGGCCGACTATAGTATTTGCCGAATAACCGACTAGCCGACTAATCGGTTATCGAATTGCCGACTATTCTGCAATGGCGATCATTCTAATACTTATCTTAGGAAGGTGTTCGGTATATTTCGTCAATAATCGGCTTGTTGAAGCACGAAACGAGTCTCCTAAATAGAGCCGAATTTATTCATGTTCCAAAATCACAGTTTGCCGCTAAGAAAAATAAAATACGTATGGACTTCTTTAAGATTCGCTAGCACTTAAGATTTTACTCAATTAATACATACTTCTCATTGCTATTTTGTTATGTGCAATATTCATTGTGTTATCTGAATTACTGACAGATTCTTAAGTTCCGAAATCGTATTATGTTACCCTATTTTTTTTAAGACTGTAGTTAACTTTAAATACATACTCTAGGTACTGTTTAAATATTCAAAACAAGCATAAATTTTGAGTTTTATTTCATTTTTATCTGCCGATTATAATCAGCATGTTTTGCCGAATAGTCATAGACTAATCGCCGACTACATACGATGCCGAATAGTCGTCTTTCCCGACTAGTCGGCCCATCTCTAGTTCCTACCCACTTAAAACTCCTGCACCGGTCACCCGACTAAAATCTGCATGCCTTTTATTTTTCACCCAGAGAAAATGCTTGGCGCAAACTAAAAAAACCGGGCATTGCAACACTTTCACCTAATAGAATATAGCCAATCAAACGACGCGACATCAAACAATCGAACCAATCAGCACACACCGAGAGCAACGACGCAATCAGAACCAAGTTTTAGGCCCGTATTACAAAATGACAACTAAGTGTTGATCTTTATTTGAGTACAGTTAGAAAGGGATATCGCTATGTGCTTTATATAGCGACATCCCTTTCTAACTATGCTCAAGACTAGATCAATCACTGAGAATCTTTCTATAATACGGGCCTCAGTCAATTTATAAGCATTTGCTCACACATAACTGTGGTGCGCCTACCCCGCCCACAAGGTTCTTCTAACCTCTTTCTGTGTCCTGAGGTGAGACTCTTTCCCCCTCATCCCGACCACCCCGTAAAACAGTCTGCTGGCCTAGGTCTCCAATATGTAGGGCTGCCATCCGTCCGGGTTTCCCCGGATTTGTCCTAGTTTACGGGGCGTCCGGGGAGCGTCCGGGAAGGGTTTATTTGTAGTCCGGGTTAAAAAAATTACGGCAACGCATGAGTGGCCCTTGGTACTGCAAGTGTCCATGGGCAGCAGTGGCCACTTATTATGAGGTAGACTGCTAGCTCTTTTGCCTAGATCAACATAAAAAAGTTGATTTGTGACATTTTAACTGTTTTTTTTTTTGGTCTGTCCGGGTTCTGTGCTCCAAAATCCGGGGTTATCACGCGTCTTATCCTGGTTGCCACATTATAGAGATGGCAGCTTTACCAATATGTATCAATGGCGGTGTATTTAGATTAGACGGTCATGCACCCACCGGTGACGTTAACAAACTTCATCATCATCAGCCTCTTAATGTCCCCACTACTGGGGCATAGGCCTTCCCTATGGATGGAATAGGGAGATTGGGCCATGACCCACCCGGGCCCAGTGCGGATTGGCGGGTGCTGACGACTGCAGATGCAACCGGGACCAACGGCTTAACATGCCTTCTGAAGCACGGAGGAACGCGAGATAGAAATTTTTGGTCACCCATCAATGACCGACCACTGCGAAAGTTACTTAACTACAACGATCGCAGCCGAACGCGCTAACCACCAGCGCCATCGAGTTAACAAACTTAATGTTTTAAAAATTATATTTTTCAATAAATCATCATAACAGCACCTATTTGTCTTAACATCACCTACAATGTCAAATCAAAAGTCTGGATGACATAATAAGGCCGAGGCAGAGGATTCGGCTGACCCTGGTCCGGGATGACGGCACCTAATACCTCACTATTTCGCTAATAATTAGTCACGGCAACGCTGACGCAACCAGCCAAACGGCACTGATGATAAAACTCAAAGCCATATGAATACGTCATGAATTTTTTATTAAAAATTAGTGAACAGTAAATCACTTTGTTATCCGTGATAATGATTTTTTTAATTTCTTTTCCATGTTACGCCACTTATCATATCTATATATTTTGAGTCTCTACACTTAGTCCAGTCACAGTAGACAAATCTATCAGACCTACAGAGTTTAAGAGGCATTCATATTGTAAAAAATATGTCTTATTTAAAATTTAGAAAGTGACTTTATAGATAGGATGCACCTTACAAAAGCTATAAGAGAGGCCGAAAAAAGTCTTTGAGGCACCACACCGTTAGCACAGGTCTTTTGAAGCTGCAACTTTATGAAACACTATTGGTAACTACCCTAACAACATACTAAAAAATAGTAAAGTTCAATTTATTGCAACCTATAAACTATTGGGCTCTGGAATGCACTACCACTAGTAGACGTTCCAAACGCTCCAAACAGGACTGCGTTTAAGAGTTCGGTGCGGGAAAATGTAGTGATTTATGTCTATGTATCTTTATATATATAATTCTTCTGTGAGTGTGTATGTCACTGAACTTCTCTTAAACGACTGGACCGATTTTGATGAAATTTTTTGTGTGTGTTCAAGGGGATCTGAGAATGGTTTAGATTCACAATTTTGGCCGCTGGACAACCCCTATTTTTTTAGGGCGGTACGAAGTTCGCTGGGTCAGCTAGTATGTGTATATATTATTTTGTTTTTCTCATTGTTTGATGTTTGCTGTTTTCTATGATTGTCTGCTGTTTTATTGACTCTGCACGTTGCTGCTGGCATTAAGTCCGCCATATGCAATGTAGGCATTAAACATTTAAAAAAAATATCTACGATGTCTTAAATGACTAGCCTTTTGTAGATAGGCCAGTCATTTAAGACATCGTTGGACATCGTATTTACGAAATATGAAACTTTATAAAGTTGGAAAACATAATCATGACTACTTACATTCATCCAGCGGGTAAAATGTGTTACTGGGTATTTCTGTTTAGTCAACTACCACGTAAAATCAGTAAATACTCATACGGTATTTCTGGGACCGTGTTTTTGCAATTCTCACGAGAAATTACCGTTATTAAACCACGAAAAATATTTCAAATAACTATGCGTGTGCCGTCAATCATTTTCAACATGCGACTTAAACCTGCAAGTTTCATGAATCATACAGTGCAATAATAAATGACGGTAATATTGAAGCACATACATATTATCATTGTAATCTATATATATATATATATATATATATATAAAACTCAAAGGTGACTGACTGACATAGTGATCTATCAACGCACAGCCCAATCGGCTGGACGGATCGGGCTGAAATTTGGCATGCAGGTAGATGTTATGACGTAGGCATCCGCTAAGAAAGGATTTTGATCAATTCTATCCCGAAGCGAAGCGTGGGCGGGCCACTAGTAAAGAATATTTGTTATAAAACGTTGTTCGTGTCGAGTAGTTATATCGCGTGTAAGTTCGTCCCCTATCATCCCTGATTTAAATTAGTGTAATGAAAACCTTGAACTTATAAAATATACGCTCAACAATACTATTGTTGATCGAAGTACACACTCGCGTAATTGTATTGTTTTTTACAGACAGCCACACATTAAGTAACCATTATATGTTGCTAATAAGCTATCAGGGCCTTTACAGCAAGTTGTGAAGCAGGCCCTGAGTGTTATTTATCTGCATCTGTATAATGAGAAACAGGAATCCGAGCCTTTCTGGAAATTAAAAAAATGCAAATGCATCTAAATTTAAACCCAACATCAGTGTCAAAGACATTGAATGAATGAATTGAATTATTATTCCCGAAGTTTGTTGTTTGATAGCAAGATTAGACTATTGAATAGAGACAATACTTTTCAATTTTAACCTCGACTAGCGTCCTGTGAACATTTACCGAGCTGCGTCACGCTTAGGATGGCGATTTCCGTGTCGCACCGATTCCGTCCGTTCTATATGTCAGCGGAATTAATTTCCTACATCCACTATTCTATACGAAAAAAATAAACAATAGAATGAGCCACTTGGCCATATTAAGATAATATTTACGAACCGTCTAAAAGCAGGAAACTAACCCAATTAGCAAATGAACTCCAGCGTTACCTAATTGCGAGATTTTCCTAAAAAGTTTGAGGGAAAAAAGTATGTTGTGACTTTTTTAATGTGTATTTTAAATAGGTATATATATATATTCCTGTCTAGTCTTTGCCCCCATTAAAATACCATACATAAAGAGCTGATGTTCCAGTAGTGGTGATATTAATTGAGATTGTATTACTTCGTTACCTTGAGTGGTTCAAAGTCTTCCACGCCGAGCCGCGACCGCTTTAGCCGCAGGAACTCTGTCTCCTTCTGGGCGTGTTGCTGTCTCTTTTCTTGCTTCTGGCTCTCTGTCAGGCTCTCATCCTTGAGCGACTCCTCCAGTTTCTCCAGTCTAGAAAGAAGACTCAAGTATTAAAGTGAGATAAGAAATTGGTTTAAATCGGTCATTTGATACGAAATAACTCGCACATCTGGGCTGTCTTCCAAAACTACCCTGTAAGTGCAACTTTTCATCCTGACGTTCCAATTTGACATAAAATGTATGAAGCTTATGTCAAAAAAGTCATTTGTTGCACCTGGAGCGTAGTTTTAAAAAGCAGCCATGCTTTACTAAGAGATCTTGATGGAAGAGTTAAGATACTCTCACTTCTGATCGGATATAAAGTAAGAACAGCCTTGTAAGAAGACTGACATTGCTGGTGCGTGCGTGTTACCATTATGATGTTACAAAATAAAGAAGAAGAGGAGGAGAGAAGAAGTGGTAAACTTAAAGAACTTCACAACTGTAGCTGATGTCCGCAATCTCTGCGGACATCTCGTCTGCGTCACATCACCACCTGCATCAACATTTCTATTACCGGCAATTTTTAAATTGATCCAGTTCAATTATTTAGTAAAAGACACTGTAATGATAAAAAAATATGACTCAATCAGATCTTTTGTTTACAGTTTTTGCTTCCCTGATATATAATTTAATAAGGATGGCAAGAATATGCCCCCCTCCCTGATAGCGGTCACCATAAACAAAATAGACGCCTGTGATACTCGTTAGTATCACTATCATGTCACAATACTCTGACGCTATTACTATACCTAACCCGGAAACTTCCTCAAACGAACGCTCTAATGAGGGCTATCGCGTCTGAAACCGCCGCTAGAGGCGCTTGTGTTGCGTGAGGTCTCCGAAATGTCAAATGTTATAGCTTGCGGGTTGACTACGCGGTTTTTTTCTAATTAAAATAATAGTTGTGAATATTTGGTAATAAATCACACTTATTATGGCAAATATGAGTTACGTGTCAATGATTGTCAGTTATTTAAAAGCGGAGCTACGAAAAAATATTGTCCTTCTTTTTTCCGAACAAAACGGGACTGCGCATCACTGTGGCATGGGCGATTATGTTTAAGATACGATTCTTTTGTATTAAAATGTAAACTTTGATATCACGAGCGTGTTTACTAACTTTAAAAGTTACACTTCAGGACCTCACTCAACAGTGGCGTCATCTGGTGAGACAAAAAACGATAGCCCTCATTCGAGCGGAACAAACGCTGTGTCCTATCTGTAAAGATATTAAGTATTGACTACAACTCTTTAATTAATTCTTCGAAATACATATTCCAAATTGCTTACACGTGTACCTTTAGTACGAGTTTTACAATTACGAAAACTATGATAGTGTTCATGAGCTCGCACTCGAACTAAGGATACTGATTTTATTGATTTCGTTTCAATACAAATAAACAGTGTTTAAATTCTATCATTAAATCATTTGCGTCTTCTTAAATTTTAAGTACCTATATTTGGTTACTTTTCACCAAAATGGACATAGAAACATAATTCATAATTACGAAAACTATGATAGTTTTCGTGAGCTCAAACTCGTACTAAGGGTACTTACTGTTCTATTCTCATTTACAGTTACGGTCCATGGCATTAAACAACGCCATTGTAAGTGAGATGTGAATTATAAACCGACTAAATGAAAAAGTTTAACCTCATCTTACGTAAATGTGATACTTGGCAACAAATCGGCCATGGTACCGTTTTACTTAACCAATAGGTAATCCGTTTTAATTCGCATCGATCCACACCACAATCGTCGAAATTGGATCGATTTCTCGAAAACAATTAGCAAAGTTTTATTCCTCTTTTGTCACCGTCTGCGCTCTATTCAATTACAAGTTTCAAGGTTGCATGGGCGTTATATAAAAATAGAATGGATCATAATAATACAAATTTTGACTTACAGCGAATTCTAAAGATATACAATATACATGTATTCACTATATTACAGTCAACAATCCATGCGAAAGTAAATTTGTCTTGTTTGTACGTGGCGCTTAAACCATTGTAGCTGTTTTATTAATTTTGGTAAACAAATATTTGGAACTTTGAGAGGGAAGAAAAAAGCCATCTTTTGTCACGAAAATAGAACTTATGGAGTAAAATATGGGATGAAAGTACCTATGTATGATGAAGCGATTCTAGACAGACCATGTAAAAATTTCTCAAGCGAAAACAACTATTTCACATTCATGAAATTGAGTATATGGAAAGCATGGATTGGCTAACACAACGAACGTTAACGAAACGCTTTAATACATAATAATAAATATATATATATCAGGCCTACAGGCCTTCCCTATGGATGGAATAGAGAGATTGGGCCATGACCCACCACGCGGGCCCTGTGCGGATTGGTGAGTGCTACCGACTGCAGATGCAGCCGGGACCAATGGCTTAAAGTGCCTTCCGAAGCACGGATGAGCTCGAGATAGAAAATTTTTGGTCACCCAACCAATAACCGACCACTTCGAAAGTTGCTTAACTTTAACGAACGCAGCCGAACGCGATAACCACTTGCGCCATCGAGTTCGTCCTTATATTATTGATATTCTACCAAACAATTAGTTTAGCCCCAAAGTAAGCACAGTATGGCTAGTGTTATAGTAACGGATAGATATAAACGGCCATAGTCATTTGCCCTTACAGGGATTCAAAATCAGCATCGCTTCAAAGCCATCCCGGGTAGAGATTTCCTCGGGTGGATTTTCTCACTAAGAATCTGACATAACCCTGCAGCCGGCTGTGGGGTATGCAGGGTAGCCAAGTTATCGCTTTTACAGGAGATCTCCTGTTTTCTTAAATTTCTCCTGTTCTTCAACATCAATCTACTGTTTTCTTTTCTAAATTGCTAATTTTACTTATTGCGTAATTATAATAAAAACAAAAATCGAACTTTGAGTTGCGGCAGAAGCCACAGAAACACATTTGTTACTGGCCTATATCTTGATTTGATTTACCAATTCTAGGGGGAGGGTGTACTGTTTTTTCTTGTAGCTCTTTCTATCCAACTTTTTTCCATAACGCCCCCCGAATTTTAAAAATCGGTCCTGGCAACAATGGGGATATGCTTGGAGGAGCGTTCCCCCTACCTCGCTTGCTGGAGGGTGATCCATTCCAATTACGTCGGGCTTAAAAATAGCGAACTATAGGACGTCGGCGACTGGAAAACCCATGTGCACACCATTCAACCACGGTGGTCGTTAAAATGTGTCCAGATAATATCGTGATTACGTTCGCATGTTACGAGATATCGCAGATTCACATTGATACAGGAGCTGGCACCAATATTGCTGACACATTGAGACCGTGTAAATATTAAATTTTGCTGTGGTCTGCGGATAAATCTGCATTTATTTAAGGATAAAGATGAGCTTTATTGTGCCTATATTGTTAAAAGATAAACATATGGACTTTTTTAAAAACTTTCAAAGGAAAACAATTTTGGCATATAAGATTTCTGCTTAATAGTACAGTCAATCTGTCGAAAAAAAAATCGTTTCAGTGAAAAAAAACCCTAAAGGGTAAGTCTTGTTTTTTCTGTTGCCAAATGACGTCAGTAAGCCACCTTGGGATGGGCATGTTCAACTCGTAGGCGTTTTTTGAAAAACTCAAAAAAAACCCTCAAAAAATTTTGTTACGTATTTTTCTTGTTTTGTATGCATTTTAGAAACTTTTTTTTCGACCATTATTGTAGAGGGCGTTGAGTACTACAATTTATGTCGTTGTTGCAATCTCGTACAACAAAAAATGCGCATTGTAGGTGGCGCTAAAGTCTCAAAAAGTGTTTTTTCACTTTTTCACCCTGACTATAACTTGAACCGTTTACGCAATGAAAGTTCTAATAAAAAGCAATATGTTTTCCGGTTTTTGTAACATTTTTCATTGATGCTCCCATCCTTTAGATTGGACTAGCGGCCCGCCCTCGCTTCGTTTCGGTGTAGAGCTGAAGTGTAAGACTACAGTTTTTGTTCTCAGGCTTGTATTATACACAATGACATTCATCTATGATTCTTCTTATACCTGCATGCAAAGTCTCAGCCCGATCGGTTTTAAATTGACAAAGTTTCATACAAACTTTCATTCCCTATTTCATCCCCTTGGGTGTAGAATTGATCAAAATCCTTTCTTAGCGGATGCCTACGCCATAACATCTACCTGCATGCCAAATTTCAGCCCGATCCGTCCAGTGGTTTGGGCTGTGCGTTGATAGATCACTATGTCAGTCAGTCACCTTTGAGTTTTATTTAAATAGATGTTAAAAGATAAACATAATGGACTTTTTTTAAAACTTTCAAAGGAAAACAATTCCAGCATACAAGATTTTTGCTTAACTCGAACCGTTTACGCAATGAAAGTTCTAATATGTTTTCCGGTTTTTGTAACATTTTTCATTGATGCTCCCATCCTTTAGATTGGATTATAGTCTACATCTATCTATATACCTTCCTCGTCAAAAGCCTTGCTCGATGGACTATCCGATACAGCCTTTAAAAAATTTGGACCAGTAGTTCCTGAGCACTAGCGCATTCAAACAAACAAACAAACTTATCAGCTTTATAGTATTAGTATGGATTCGTGCCAGTCCAGCCGCACACGCCGAGTCTGGCGCCTGTCTTAGGCGCCTAAAACTGGATAAAGCTAGTGTATCGATGTAAATCTGGCATTTTAAACATCCCTGCCACGCTGCACATAGTGCTGATTTCGCTGCGAATATTTTAATCAAACTAGAGTTTTACGCTAATTAACTTGAACGTGTATTTAATTAACATCAGCCGTAGATTGTATTGTGAGAATAAGAGTTCTTACCTAACTAAATTGGAAAAAGAAAAATTTTCAGACACTTGGAACTTGGTGGCATAAACCAATCGTTAGGGGATTTTTTTCAGATTTTGAGCCGGAAAAGAATGCTAATCTTCCAAGATGGTGACATAACTATAAGCTGTGAAGGTCGTCAAAGGAGATTGCTCAGCTTTCATATATGTTTGGCCTAAAGACCAATAATCATGAAAAATTGTTTCCTAGATTCGAAATTATACAATAAT